GGGGGTCTTTGACAACTTGACAGTGTGGAACTAGCTTGCAGGTGCCAGGCCAAACTGCAGCGAAGCCAATGACAGGGATTTGAGAACTCTGAGGGCACGCAGGCCACACACCAACTAGTGTTCGCTAAGTTTTAACTGATAGGCTGTGTAGGAGTTCCACTTTTCGGGCTGATTTTGCATTACAACCGAAAGATCTCAGCCCCAAAAAGGGAACGCATATTCTTTATTGCTCGCGACCCCGAATTCGGGACGCGACAACCTTGGCAGTGCTGCCGCTACACGTTCCACCCTGCACAAAAAACTGGCGCTGCAACTCCAATTGCATGGAATTTAGTTCATAGGACAGCGCCTCATTCTCGCAAAAACACCAGACCTGAGACATGGGCCGCTCGTGGACACGCTATCCGGGAAGGCACAAGACCGGGGGATGGGCGGGGGTGGGGGGGTTGGAAACCAGAGCGCTTCATCATTCCGAAACCCACCAAGTATCCTCCGAGTTTTGAGACCAAAAAGCCGGTTTCCGTACCTTTGAGGGGCTTCGGATGGTCCAGTTGCGCCATGCTCTGGCGCTTTGCATCTGACGAGAGTATGCAAACCCATGCAATCGGTCCCTCCGATCCGTCGAACTCGGGTGAAGAGGAATGCCGCAGTTTTCCCCTCGTGCGACGCAGAAGCATAGAAGGTCCGCCTGGCAGTGGAAATGCAGGCTCATGACAGCCGAACCCCAAACTTGCACAGTGCCCTCCGGCATTTGGCCTTTGCAATGCCGGCATTGCGGCCATTCTGATAGTGTAGCCGCAACAACAAGGGACAATCGACATGATCGGCACGCCAGCTTTTGACAGCAAAGTCTCACTCACAACAGCAGATCTCAGCAGATCTCAGCAGATCTCAGCAGACTCGAAGAGCCGTGGCGCTGTCACGGACCATGGGCCGCCTGGGTGCCGCTCGTGCTTGGAGGGCGCGCCGGGTGCTGGCACTTCTGGCACTGCTTGGATATCTTGGATCACTGGGCTTCTGCGGGGAGAAGGCAGTGAAGGCCGCCTTTCCAGCGAGAATTGTTCGACATTCGCCTTTGCTGGCTGTGTATGGTTATGGCTGCAGGCGCGTCGGCTAAGTCGGCGAGCTTCGGACGGAGAAAAACTGATTCCGATGTCGTGTGCGATTCTTTGAGAAGTCGGCCCCCTCGCATTGTGCATCGGTTTGTGCATTTGCAGGAGATGCCTTCCAAGAAGGTGATCTGGTGCGAGTGCCCGACCACCTTGGACTCGAAGAGGACTCAACAGTCTCGGTCAAAAGCAAGTTCGAGGGGCCATTTAAGATTCGGATCTCATACTAAAAGTAGTATTTTTCGGGGAAAATTCGTTTTTTTTCGAGAAGGGCCATGTAATGCGAACAGAAGCCGCGTGTGGAGGCAGAGATAGCCCTGGTGGTCGCGCGGCAGTGACATTTCTGCTTTGTCCAACCCCTGCAGCAGACAGGAGATTGTGGTGGCCCAAGCATATCCCAAGCGTATCCAAGATCATCCTGAAATGCCCGGAATGTTCTGCACCTTCCCAGCCGACATGCGAAGGCTGGTCCGCGTTAGAAGAGTCGGAGCTGTTACAGGCGCCAGACTGACAGAACCAGGAGAGGGAGAGAACTTGCCACGAATTGCCACGACTCACGGCGGGACCCCATGCGCAACAGGCATTGAAGGAGAGGATCGTTTGTTGGAGTCAGACCCAGGTGCCGTCCGAGGACCTTCTTCGCTGCGCTGCAGAGCCTTGTGAGGCCATGGGGGCCTTCTCAAAGACCAAGAACTATGGGAACATGAGGGGAACATGTGGGGAACACATGGGAACCTTTAATTGTAAACGCTTGCGCGCGCCGCCTCGGCAGCCGGGCCGGCCCCAGGACAGGAAAGGAGGAAAGAGGGTTTCTGCAACAAAAGGGGAGGTCCGGGGGTCGTAGGGAGGGTAGAGGGGTTAAGGGTGTTTGAGGTCCGGGTGGGGGGGGGTGGGGGGGGGGGTTGGGGGGGGTGTGGGGGGGGGTGTGGGGGGGAGGTCTGCTGCTCCAGACGCTTCTGGGCAGGAAGCCGAGGCGAATTGGAGGTTTGGGAGTTTGATGGAGTTTCTCAGGGCCCGGATGGAGTCGTCTGGCGCCTGCTGGAGTAGATCCCCGGAGCCCGGAGCGGATGACGGAGCCTTCGGAATGTTCGGAGAGCTGCGGGCCTCGGGGAGAAGAGACACGAAGGGGGCTCGGCCTCCGAGACTCCAGCCGAAAAAGCTGTCCTTGCACGGTTTCTTTCAACCAGGGCTCTCAATTGCACGCAGTGCCGCAGTGCAGAAGTCGCAGCAACTATACTGACTCAAGAAGAGATGCATCCAGCATCATTGAGTGTCACCATGGGTGATGTCATGCAAACTCTCACCTGACAGAACGAGCAGAGGTTGCAGCATGCGTAGTATCTCCGTAGTAGAGACAAAGTGGCAGTCACTGGCAAGACGCCGCCGGCGCAATGGCAATCGACTTCTCCATCTACATTACCAAGAGGACCCCGTCCGTATCTCTACATGCTCGGAAGAAGCATAAGGGAAGTGGGCCACGAATGCAGCGCAAGTGCAGTGCGGAGGAATGCACCATACATCATCTGGACTGTTATCGCGATAGCGCGGGGCCTTGGCAACGCCGCAACACTTGGAGTGGAGGGTGGAGAGGAGTGGCTGTTCGGGGCCCCTTCCAGGTTTGTGCGCTGTTCTTTCTGCTCTCAAGCCGCGCGGTGCCGAAGAGCAACGGTACCCCTCAGCTGCACGTGCTGGCGGAGACTTCCAATTGTGATTCTTGTTTGTCCCGCTGTTGCACCGGCTCTTCTGTGACAGGCGGGCCGTCGAAGATGCAGCAGCCTGGGGCCCCAGCACCCGCAGCATTGGCGAAACAAGCCATGGCAAACACAAGAAACGAAGCCTTCTCAGTTTTCTCACTCACGATTGAAAGTGCCCTCTTTTTTTTTCTCATGCTCTCATGACTTTCGGTGCAGACCGTTTTGAGGCGGCGCCGGGTGAGCATCTCCCTAGATGGCCTCCTGCTGGGCCTTTCGGAGCCTGCTTTTTTGTGTTGTGTGGATGCCCCACGCGAATTCCGTTTGGAGAGCGATTCTTTGGGGTCGATTTTCGGGGAGATCCATTCACAGAGGACAGCGGGCCTGCTGCCCGGGCCCCGGCGTCCGTGCTATCTGCATGTGAGCCAAATCTTGAACGGCTCTTGGCCATGTCCCATTCCACATGTCATGCCGGCTTCCCAAGATCGCCAACTTCTTGGAGATATGTCAATGCTGCGAGGCCGCGTGGGTCCCTGAACCCCAGAAACCCTCAATAACTAGCCCACAGTATGCAGAAGATCGTCCTTGAAATCTCTTCAGCCTGTCTTCAGCTTTTCCTCAGCCTTTCGCCGCCAGGTGTTCGCCTTCGGCCTAGCTGACAGTGACGACCGGGAGGAGAAGGCCCACGGTCTCCCAAGCTGTTGAACATTCCCTAAGCCTTGAAGCCGAGCTTGATGAAGTTCTCTTTTTTGGTTGGGGGGGGTTAGATATGTTTCGATCGCCGGAGTGTCATGTGGATTCACGCTTCAATCATCGCTTACGGTACAGGGTTCGAAGATTGCAGTGTTGATTGGGACAATGGCACAACGTCGTCAAGAACGGGCTCAGGGATTCACAGGATTCCGTATGTCAACTCTAACTCTTCCGGGCCAGACCACCTTAGGCAATAAGCTTAGAGGCATTCTTAGGCCTTTGACAGCGAGGTCTGGCGAATGTTCGAGTCGCTGGGCGCCTTCCAAGCGGGCTTCAAGAGGCACTGGAAAACGCAGGGCTTCGAAGATCGCTTGGAGGACCTGACAACAATGAAAGGAATAAGTAGATGTGTCAGATTAGCGAATCACGAATCCGATCGGGTTGCGCTTGAACTTGGGTGACAACCGGCCTACCCGGGCCTACGCTCCCTTTCAGGCACCGGCTCATGTTCTCGAGTACCTCTGAGGGTCGGGAGCCGAGGATGGGGACAGGAGAGAAGTCTTCGCCTCTTTTTGAGCCTTTTTGAGTCCGCTGAACGCACGAAAAAGGCACAAAGGGTTTTCAGAGCATCTGAGGCCGAGCTTCCATGGTCCGGCAGCTGCAGCCAGACCTCCACCTCGAGGTGTGATGTCAAACTGAGAGCATTCTGAGCATTCTGAGCATTCTGAGTATTCTGAGCATTCTGCGCATTCTCGGCCGAGGGGTCATCATTTTTGGGAGTTTTCAATTAGGTTTACAAAAAGCAGCAAAGGCAAGTGAGGAGTCATCTGACAAACGCTTGCAAACCCGAGGCGTCACCAGAGGTTGCGGAGGCGTTGCTTGGCAAGGCCAGGCTTTCAGGGTACTTTGCGGGGTATAAAAAAAGCAAAGTATAGGATTGGTTTTTTTCGCATCTTTTTCGGGGGCTCATGTCTGACGTTGCTTTGCTGTATTCAACTGCACATTCCTCCTCTTGTTTTCTCTGATGCCCCACCACAGCCAGAAGTGCCAGAAGTGGCAAGTTCCGAGTTCGGAAGTTCGGAACGAATGTTCTGCGTGAGGTCCCGGAGGTGCGCCTTGTAGAGGCGCTTCCAAGCGTCAAGGACTCGGCTTGAAAGGGAGCTTCCAAGAGTCCAAAGCATGACCAAGCAAAAGTCCAAAGCGATCCAAAACGCTTTAGCGCGCCTCCTTGCCAAACCTGGGTCGTTGCAGGAGGTCTTGTGATGCTTGGATGGGTTTGGCGGCTGGCCTGAGCAGATTGTCGCAGGTCCGAAATATTCCGAGGTTTGTGAAGTTTGAACCTCCCACCTTCCTCTTTCCTCTCACACTCTCCCCGACTCTCTCCTTCATCTCTTCTCGCCTCCTCTGTGCCTTGTTTAGCGTGCTTCCTCAGCGCTGAAAGCGCCTGTTCACCGCACTCTGCGACGGCGCCGACGCAGAGGGCTCCAGCGGAAATTCCTGCTGAAAAGAAGCACTCTGCGCAGATCTGTTGGGCATCGCCGATTCAACGCATTGAGGTTGAGTTGTGGGTGATTTGTGTTTTCCCAAATCTGTGCAGTGAACCATGCAGATCTTGAAGCTTTTGAAGCCTTGAGAGCCATGCCATCCCCGCAGCCGCTTGGACTCATGCTGTGCATAGAGCCCTAAGGGCCAGATGCCAGCACAAGCGCAATAAATGCTCCGCCGCCTGGCCAGCACATACGAGTGTACATGCCCGTAACCACTTTTTTTTTCTCCCTTTTTTGCGTGGAGCATCTGCTTGGGCTTTGTGTCTTGTCACACAGATCACGATGCAGAGTCCTCTTTGCCAAGTGATCAGGATTGCATTGGCATGGGCTGCGGTGCCTCTGTAGGCTACGGGAACCTTCGTCCATGTTTGTGGTGTGCAACTTTCGCCCAGCTTGTGCCGAGTGGCCGAGTGCGTGGTGACATGTGGTGTTTTCACTTGGAGCAGGCCTGAGAGAGGACATCGTGGGATGCAGAAACTGAGAGCTGCCATGTCCTCCTAAGTTCGGAAAGTTGTGGAGCTGAGACTGGTCAGAAGCGTGTGAGGAATTTGCTAGCTTCTACAGCAGCTACCAGCCCCTCAGCTCCGAATATGGCATGCCTGGGAAGAGATTTGCCGTCTCTTCTTTAACGTAGAAGAGCTTGCAGGCTTGGTGACATAATCGCGTATGTCACGTTGAGCATGTGTAGAAGCCCTGAGGCTTGGCACCGCGCTTGGGAAGGGCTCGTACGGGAGTGTGTTCTTGGCAAAGGCACGGCTTTGCATTGGTATTGGCAGTGCTTTCACCAAGATGCTTCAAATCGCCGGCTAAGCCAGGCCCACTACTCCCAGACAAGCTTTGCGGTGAAGGCGCGCAAAGGCTGAGAGCGGGAGGAGAGGTTCGGGGACCGGAGACCTCTACAACTCCTTTTTTTCTTTACGCTGAATGCGGGTATCGTGGACGTGCCCGTCCGGAGAGGTTCAGACCTCTCGGCGAACCGCGGCTCAGAAGATCCAGCATGAGGCCCTGCCGAATGCACACGAACCCAAAGTCAGTTTGGTCACGTGAAAGGGGCGGATCATGTGCAAGAATCTGCGAAGCTCAACTCGATTCCACACCTCTCTACATTCCATACCGGGCCCCGTAGATGTATCGAATCGGGTCCAATTTCCCTTGTAAACCCTCTTTTCCGTCTTTTCCATTATCCGGACTCGAGAGGCCAAAGCCCGGGCCTCGGCACTGAAGCGTTCAAAGACGCTTTGTGCATCGCTTTGTGCATCGCTTTGTGCTCTTTGCCGCTCTTTGCACAGGGAAACGATGAGAGCCGAGAGCAGCACGCGAGAGCACGCGCGGTATGTTCAATGATTCGTAAATATTGAGAACCTCAAAAGCCGGATTCCTTCCTACTTTTTCCGATGAGGAAGTTTCTCACGTCTCGAAATTTCTGAGATCTGGAAGCTCTGCGCCACCCATCACAATGTGGTCCACTTCGTGCAGATGCCGGAACCCTGGCAATGCTTCGGGGGGACCATTCGGAACAAGTCGCAAACGATTCGGGCAACTGGGTGGGAGGACTTTGGATGTTTGCAGGCTTTGCTCGGGTAAGGGCGCTACAAGGGCGCTGATGGGACGCCATTTGCAGTCCCAAGCCAAAATGACTGGCTTCACAATATGCCGACCTGCCCCACGATGTCCCTCAACTCTAAACGCATGGAGCTCCCAGGTGTCAAGAGGCGGACATCTATTACATGGTCATGGAGGCTTGCGAGTGCTCTTTGCGAGGTCCCCGGGTGCTTTGCTGCTCTGAGTGCCATTCCCTGCCTCTTTGTCCCTCTTTTCGTGCTTCGTTTTGTTGCTTTGATGGCGCTGCCGCTCCTCTAAGAGAAGTAAAGAAAGAGGGAAAAAAGTATTCCCCGAGGTTTGACCGGCTTATCGACAATCCGAAGTGGCACTGGGACCAGCTGACAGGTGTGCGTGGGGAGAAAGAGGAGAGAGGGAAGAGGGAAGAGGGAAGATGGAAGAGCTTGTCGAGGCTTGCCCCCTCCGGGCCCCTGTCTCCCGCAAACCACAAGTGTGTTTTACACTGGGACGATGGGGCAGTTTTGTAGAATGGGAGTTGCTGCGAACGCCGAACTTTCCAGAATTCCATGTTGTGCTATTCACCAAAAGCCCTGATAAATGCAATGGTTCTTATTGCGTCTTTGTCTCACTTCGTTCAGCCTTTTAACATAGATTTCTTGAGCGAAGCGAAGGACTGGGCGAGGTGAACAGACAACGACCAAGAGCCTGATAATGACCTATCTTCACGGATTGGTTAAACATAGTGGAGTATAAGACCCCATTTGAAGCCAGATGTTATGGTGTTCGTTAGGCTTCAGAACCTTTCCGGTTCGGTTTTCTACGGTTCGTACCCGGTTCGGTTCGCTCTCGTTTCGGTTCTTTATCGGTTCGGTTCCCGCCCCCGCGGTTCCGGTTCCCGGTTCGCGGTTCGGTTCCGCGGCTTTCCTGTTGGTGGGCAAGTGGGGCACGTGGGGCAAGTGGGGCAAATGGGGCAAGTGGGCTGCTTCCGGACCAGAGCAATTGAGGCAAGCGGCTAAAATCGGTTTGCGCTGCCGGTTTCCGCGCGCACTGCCACAAACAACCTCCGAAAGCTACAAGGGTTAGTGCGTCAATCCTTGGTTTGCGTCGGGGTGGTCCCGTGGCTCGGTGGCTGAATCGGTGGCTCACATTAGGACGTCTTCAAGGGATCCCCAGAACGAGTCCCCTAATCGTGTGCTACCGAGACACCGGTGTGAGCCACCGGTTTGAGCCACCGAGCCGCCACCGCGAGTGGGGATTCCCTCGAGGATTTTATGCTCCTACTCCTTGTGCGTTAAGCGTCGCTTCTCCATTGAAGTTCATGACAAAGCGCCGCTTTTACACTTTGGGGAGTTGAAAGGAGGCGACTTGTGTGCAGTCTGACACATATGCCAAATTCCTTGAATCTATTCCTCTCTCTTTCTCCTTGACGGCGAGACACGTAGCAGGCGACCTGTTTCAGCTTGCGGCTGGCCTCCAGCATCTGCACAACCACCGGCCCGGCTGTCAGAATCCGGGAGCGGCATAAGGTAGCATGTGGTTGAACTGTAGCCGAAACCCCTGTTGAGCCGAGTGTCAGCAAGTTGTTCCCCACCCTCGGTGTGGGGTTGTTAGATTTTAAACTCAACTCTTCTCCTCGCCCGGAACACTTCTCCTCACCCGGAACTCTTCTCCTCGCCCAGTCTACTCCGCGCTCATCCCTGGAGTGCCCAACCCCAAAGTGTCCCTGGAGTGCCCAACTCAAAGTGTTCTTGGAGTGCCCAACCCCAGAGTCTCCCTGGAGTGCCCAACGCCCCGCATTCTCCCTGCAGTGCGCCCAATCCCAGAGTCTTCTTGGAGTGCCCAACCCCAAACGTGTTCCCGGAGTGCCCAGCCCCAGAGTCTCCCGGGAGTGCCCAACCTCGGAGTCTTTCTGGAGTGCCCAACCCCGGAGTGCCCAGCCCCAGAGTCTCCCTGGAGTGTTCGAAGTAAAATAGTTTTTGTCTCGCCCAGGGTGTTGCACAGCGACATAAAGGCCAAGCCTGTCTTCGGGCCTCGTGGAGTGGTGTGTTTTGGACGTGTGAGCAGGCGGAGAATGCCCTATATGGGGGCCCCGATGGGAGGCGGCTGATACCATAAATGCCCCAAACCCCTGAAAGTGTCGTGACATGTAGGTGACAGTGGTCCTGCAAAGCTGCCCTAGCATTCGTGTCCTGAATCAAGAGGACGTTGAAGCTGGCGGATTTCGGCTTGGCGCCACGGCTGCAATGGGAGCCCGGAAGTAGCAGCGGTCCTTTCAAGAAGAAGAACTCCCGGGTTCGTCGAGTGCGAGTTCGATAGTCGATGATAGGTACCTATTGCGTGGGGGTCTATCTGAAAATGCATAGACCCCTACCCCTCTACCCCTAAGCCTATAATAGACCTGCTGATGCAGGAGTGTGTCCTGCGTGTCAGGATGCTGTGCCATGCTGCAATGTCTCCAGACTAACGCCCCAAACCATGCAGCATCGCGCGATGGAGATTCTCTTTTCCAATACGCACAACAGAAAGGTGTAGCTCATTTGGCTATTGATAGATGTCTGCATGCCTTGCTTTACATTTGTGCGTGACATCTAAGAAAACTGTGGCCAAGGGTTCATGGTTTTCCGCAGCCTTACCCTTTGGGCCACGGACGGCGAGGGGGGTTCCCTTATGAAGCAGAGAGGCTCAAACCCTTCTATACATTTCCACTTCTGCACTCCTCCTCTGACTGACCGCTAGGTCAAGTCTGCCGAAATTGGTAGCGCCATCTCTGCTTGAGCTCGGTCTTTACAAAACGTACAAAGCTGCCTGTACACCAAAGGCTTTGTCAGTCTCCTCAAGCCGGTGCAATTGGAATACGCATGGTACTTGTCACTGTCCTCGACGATGTAGATGCACGCCGAGGGGACCGGCACATACAGCGTATAGTTCCTACGCTGCGCCCTTGTGAGCACTACTGGAGGTGGTGGTGGAGCGGGTATCCCCTCGTTGCTGGATGATGCTCGTGAGGTCGGGGGCTGTGGTGGCAACGCCGGCGGGGTTGGAGGATGGCTGTCTTCTTGTCGCCCTTCGCGAACTTGTGGCGGTGGTGGCATTGGTAGGTCTAGCAAGCTGCTTAGCTCCTTGGCCTCCCGATGCTCTTTACTTCCACGATCTCTT